TGAAATTCTACAGGTAGACAACTGAACTAAAAAACTAATTATTGGCATAACATTCAGTTTATATATCCACACACAGGTTTATCGATGGCCAAAAAATGCCGCACACATTGTGATCGTGAACGTGGAGAGCTACATTTCATCACAACTTTTTAGTCACTTACAGTATTCTTACGAAAATTCGTATACATTTGAAGGTAGGTACAAGCAATAGAATAACGTTTCAAGTAAGTCTTTAGAGGTCTTATTTAAAGTGTTAGGACGTATTGAAGTGTTTTCATACTTACCTAAATAATTTTTAAACGGTCCATTATTTTTGTTATTTTATTGTCGAACAAATTAAAACTAATCCTTAAGAAGTTATGTACAAAAGATGGTTACAATCCGCTTACCCGTTTCAGAGATCCAGCAAACCCACAAACGTTACTCCAGCAGGATCTCGAATAAATTCGCAGCCGAAGAAAATACAAACACCAAATAAGTTGTAACATTTACCTAGTCCGGATAACTAATTATTTAGCTAAAATTTATTTCAATATTACAATTAAAAAAGAAAATGTCTGGCTGCGGTAACGTTTCAAACGTTACCCCAGCAGGAAATGTTTTTTTTGAAATAACTAAAAAAGTTTAAGTGAAACAAATTAAAAAATGTGCCTAACAATTACAGAAGGGGATCAACTAATTATCTATAACGTTTAAATGACCATTTTTGACATTATTTTGCTGGGGTAACGCACACCTAAAATTAAACTTCAATTAACAAATACTACGCAGGTACCAATTCTATGAACAACTATAAACAATTCACCTAAACAATACGAGAAAACAAAAGCATTCAAAACAATACCTAATCTCCCGGCTGATTACTAATTATGCAATAAACAATCCTAAATAAAAATTATTTAAAAACATGTAGTATTTTGTAACACTTATGTACATATCCGTAGTAAACTTGTAAATAATATCCTACATATTTTAAAAGCCAGCACAATGTACTGGGTGATCGCTTTTTTGTAACCACCTAAACATGGTCGGGTTACCACGGTCTTGCACCTTCTAATGACTTTTATTTAATTATCTCGTAAATTATTATATGTACTACGCTGAAATTTTACAGGTAGACAACTGAACTAAACAACTAATTATTGGCATAACATTCAGTTTATATATCCACACACAGGTTTATCGGTGGCCAAAAAAGGCCGCACACATTGTGATCGTGAACGTGGAGAGCTACATTTCATCATAACTTTTCAGTCACTTACAGTATTCTTACGAAAATTCGTATACATTTGAAGGTAGTTACAAGCAATAGAATAACGTTTGAAATAAGTCTTTAGTGGTCTTATTTAAAGTGTTAGGACGTATTGAAGTGTTTTCATACTTACCTAAATAATTTTTAAACGGTCCATTATTTTTGTTATTTTATTGTCGAACAAATTAAAACTAATCCTTAAGAAGTTATGTACAAAAGATGGTTACAATCCGCTTACCCGTTTCAGAGATCCAGCAAACCCACAAACGTTACTCCAGCAGGATTTCGAATAACTTCGCAGCCGAAGAAAATACAAATACCAAATAAGTTGTAACATTTACCTAGTCCAGATAACTAATTATTTAGCTAAAATTTATTTCAATATTACAATTAAAATAGAAAATGTCTGGCTGCGGTAACGTTTCAAACGTTACCCCAGCAGGAAATGTTTTTTTGAAATAACTAAAAAAGTTTAAGTGAAACAAATTTAAAAATGAGCCTAACAATTACAGAAAGGGAGCAACTAATTATCTATAAAGTTTAAATGACCATTTTCGACATTATTTTGCTGGGGTAACGCACACTCGAAACTTCGAACTCTTCTGTAACATCTGTATATATAAAATATATATATATATATATATATATACACACGTACATATACGTGGTATATATTTAACTACGTATTTTTAAGGTATACCTAATTAATAAATTCAACTTAAATACCTACAAAAACCACCATTTTTTTTTAAATATAATTAGTTTTGTACTGCAAAAATTTTGTTTTCGAATGTCGTGAACACGTATCATCACACATCACGTAATCATGGGTGAACAAAATTGTTTATTTTAATCGTAATAAAAAACAAAATTGTTTATAAAAAGGAAGTTAATAAAAACACACTGTAAAATAAATTAAATATTTCTTTATTTACACGAAACGCGAACCAAATTTATTTGGACTTCGGTAATAATTTTGACGAGTTATAGCAGTTATTATGAGTTAGGGTACTACAAAATTCTCCTGCAAACCTTTTGAAATACATCTTAACAGAGCTTGAAGTACTTGACTGAGATACAAACAGGGCTTTTTTTTTTATGAAACCAAGTTATATGTAAGATTGCACATTATTTTTTAAGTTTGTAATATCTATTTTATTTCATACATTATCATAACACAAACCATAGGGAGTACAAAATGGTTAAGTTTCATTTTACCTACCCAATTTACGTTTAAGTATAAATAAGTGTATCACAACTATATGAAATAAAATTATATTGAGATATCATTCAATCACTTCAGGACACTTTTAAAATTATCAAAGGAAATAGGTACATAATTAAACTCATTTTGCAGTTGTTTTTAGAGAATTTTGCAAGTATATGTCTAATGTTGATTTAGTTATTCTTATGGTAATTACATTTTATTAAGTGCAAGATACTTATTTTAAAATTGTAATACAAACGATTTATGAAGAACAATCACATGTTCTGCTGATTACTTATTGTATAATAGGCGATTGCCTTATTTTAAAGAGATAATATATAACTATGCCAAAACAATACAGCACGCGTAGTTATAGAGAGCGCTCTTTGAATAATCTAATTACTGTTCATTTATGTCCAGATAAGTTACTTCTAAACTTATGTTTATAGCAGATGATACTTGCCCATAAAAACTACTATTAACTTTGTCATTTAAAACAAATAAAAATAAGTACTTATTAAAGAGTTAGTTATTTTAACAATAACAATAAATATTTTTGCATTCATAAAAAAACCCTGTAAAATAATTCTTTTCCTCAAATAAAACTGAATTTCTTCATAAAAATATTGATGTGTAATTACAATTAATAAGAAATTAGTGTATAGGACAGTTGCAAATAACAAGAATGACTAGAAAATTCTGTTGTGATGTATTCAGAATATAAAACGTAAATCTGCTGTAAACTAGGTCGCTACTATTTGTTGAATACGACGCGCGAGGTTTAACTACCACTAATGTCGATATTTAGTTGAGCGCTCTCTACAGATACGCCACAACACTATTGTAACGAACTCCTTGGTATCTGCATATTTACGAATTTACACCGACAAAGCGATTATAATCCTTTATGAGTTACTAGTTCTATTCAGACAGCTGCGGCGCACGATGCATACTTCTCGATTAGAAATGCGAAAGCAATAATGACATGTTGTAAGAGCGATAACTCACTAAATACTATTCATTATTATATTAGCATGGTGTTACCAACTGTCGCAAACTTTGTAAACAATTTACACTTGCATTATGTCATGCATTAAACACGTCTGTTTCTATATGAGCGTACCTACGCAAACTACACTACGAACTAACCTCTACAACACCAGGCAACAAAATTATTCCGTATAATAAATAACTATTGATAGTAATAATAGATATTATTAAAAAAAAAAACCTCGACCACGGAAAACGAGCTCTGTGACAATCGCGTCACTGCGAGGGTACGAGACCTTTCAACCAATCAAATAACATCGACACAAAGCAGTACACCAATACATATGCCATTATCAATTACTATTAGTTTTGGCTTCACCGTGGTCGGGTGAGAATGTTCCATCTAAGATTTCTCTTTCAATCTAGCTACCTTAAACAGGCCTGTTATTCAAAGTATTAAGTTTAGATATATCACACATTAATTTACTTAGTTATAAATGATGACGTAAATAAAATCGGCTTATTTAAAAATCAGATTATATTTAATCATGTAAATTATGAACTGTTTTAAAATTACCCATTTAGCAATTCAATGCTCTACACTAACAAAATTGTTTGTTTTGAGACAAAGTAAATAAACACTGGCAATACTAATAAATAAAATTTTGAAATATAACTCACTAACTTATAGTTAAAGTTTTGAATTGCCAAAACTTAAAATAAGTCCCTATGAAACCGATTGATACAAAATTCTACAAAAAGTTGCTACATATTTATATCCATGGTTTCGTTGTCTCCATAGATCTTCATCCATGTGGTTGGCGCGCTTGCTAACCGACATAATGAACATCGTATCGAGCTGAGACAAACATCAAAAGCCTTATTTACATTACTCCATGAAGCATTAAAATGAGTCCAAGTGCTGATCAGTAATCATTATCGAATGGTTGTCATGAATAACTAGCTATCAATATCAAATTTCATAAAACTAAAATTATCAATAAAGAAATCAAGGTACAAAATCTGATTGGCTGGGTAATAAATCAAATTACTTATTATAACAAATAAAATTTATATCTAAACGTTTTACGAATAAACAATAACTATAAAATAAATCAGGACATTGAAAGTTTATAATAACACACAGCTCACTCCATCGTTTCGAGGGGGTACATGACGAATGCTACGTCACTACTTAACTAACGAAGTTCCAAATATTTCAAAATTCGGAAACAGCAGTTTAAATAAAAAAATAATATAAAGAAACTATGTGCCATTACACTTTAATGGAATGTGTGAATCTATACCGAAGAAGTGGCACACGTATACGTACGATAATCGGGCATCAGAATTCGCCAATAAAGATAAAAAGAGACATAGCATCGTCAGGTGTACGAAAAACTACAATGAGCAGAATGAGAGAGAAAAAATCAATTTGAAATGATTGACCATAATGACAGCAGCTTATATTGCTCTCATTGTAGCTACAACGCGAAATAATAATGATAAGGATATCATCGGTGAGTTTAAGTTACTAAAATGGCAACGCTTCTAGCGACACTCCCAAACTTTGACGGTCTGATCGACGCTGCCGGATATGACGTATGGCAAGCTCCTATGGAAATCTGAAAACAAAATACAACATTATAACGCTATTATCTACACAAATAAGAAATTAAACTAAAGCGTAATTTAAAGTGGCACACAAATGAGTCGTCTAGTTTATAGAAAAGACAAACTATAAAAGACAAACGTTTCAACAGGGTTTAAAACTACTCAAATAAGTACTGTAACTGTGAAAGTCAACAATGCAACGTATGGCACTTAGGAAAATAATTTAGTTCCATACGTATTCTTTTTATTCCTACAACCAAAATATTATTGTTTAGATACTCATCTCTTCCTCATAAGTTATTAGTTAATAAGTGATACACTCTTTCCAGATAAGAATTTCAAAATGTTCACATGACATAGAATTTATGGACAGAAATGCTTTAAATAAGAGATCTACAATTTCCTAAATATTGTGTTAAATATTCCTGTCTTGCTGATATTAATGATGTTTTATTATTAAATTTAGGTTAAAATAATTTAATATTTAATTTAGGTTCAAGAAAGTATATTTATTAAATATGTCATTAGCAACCACGAAAAGTAGTTTTTGTAAGTGGCTATTGCCATGTTATATTGGGTATGTAACTTCACAAATTTTCAGTCTAAAGTCAAGTAATTAAATACCAAAAGATCATCAGTGGGGTATCAGCACAATAGGTCGACATCCCACTGATAATGTAAGATTTTTTTTATTCTTCTGGCGGTCTTCAGAACATCACATTGATATTATGAGTATAAAGACGAAAGATTGTGTGTGTTTATATGTTTGTTGCTTCTTCACGCTCAAATGACTGGACCAATTTTTATAAAATTTGGTATAGATGTAGCCGACACCATGGATAAACACATAGGTTACTTATAATCGCGAAAAAAGTAGTGTTCCCGTGGGATGAGCAAGGAATTGAAATATATTAGTATAATATGGTAGTGAAGTGGGGTGAAGGTGTGTGTAGTATAGTGACCGAGGCTGGTGGCGAAGTGCTGGTGCGCGTAGAGCGTCTTGAGGCAGCGCGTGTGCGCCACGTCCCAGACGCGCAGGGTCTTGTCGTCGGAGGCGGTGAGCAGGTAGCGCCCGCCCGGGTGCCACGCCGCGCCGCGCACCCAGTTGTCGTGCCCCACCAGCGTCGCCAGGCACTGGCCCGTGCTCACGTCCCAGATCTGCGCACACGACATTAACTTATACTATTACACTGTTGTTACACATAGTGTTGGTCTTGACAACAAAATTAATCATAATTTAGTAGAACTTAGTAGAAGAATTATTCATCTACAGATAAACCTCACTGACCCCAATCATGGAGTCATCAAAACGTACATTTGAGCTAATTTATGGGGTTTATTAGTAACAACAAAGCAGTTCCAGTCCACATTTTCTAATTGCGAGACGCCAAGTCAGGATACTATTATTCAAATTGTATAACTTTATACAGTTTTATTTCTATTCGACATCTAAAAGTCACTGACATTGATATTTAAGATCTGTTAACATGCTTAGTTACGCGTAAGGTATATTACCTTAAATGTAAAGCTACATCTTAATTTCATTATAGTTATTTTATAAGACGTAGTCGTTATTAAAGGCTGTTGATGAAGTCGTTAAAACAATCTTAGCATCGTTCACATCACATCAACAGCCTTTAACAGTCCACTGCTGGACATAAGCCTCTCCTTAGAAAGGAGGTTTTGGCCTACTATACCACGCTGACCAGACGGGTTGGTATAGGGTTTGTGGCCGCCGCTCTGACCGCCCAGAATAGGGTACGCCTCTGGCGCCCTCAGAGGGTAATGGCGGTCAGAGCCATACGCGGTTACCGCACCGTTTCGACGGAGGTGGCATGCGCATTGGCCGGAACTCCCCCGTGGGATTTGGAGGCGGAAGTGCTCGCCGAAGTTTATCGGCGAGTGGCTGACTTCCGGGCGGAGAGCGGATTTCGCCCTCCGCCCGAGGATGTGCGCGAGTGGCGCGAAGCCGCTCGCCGAGCCACGATGGCTCGTTGGTCGTTCCGGCTGGAGACTCCACGCGCTGGCTTCGCCGCCGTGGAGGCTCTCCAGCCGGTCATCGCCGAGTGGGCAGGGCGGCAGCACGGGACCCTTTCCTTCCGACTGACGCAGGTGCTTTCCGGGCACGGTTGCTTCGGAAAGTACCTGCACACGGTCGCTAGGAGGGAACTGAGTCCCGCCTGCCACCACTGCGACTGCAGTGAGGACTCGGCCCAGCACACGCTGGCGGTCTGCCCCGCATGGGCGGCGCAGCGCCGGGCCCTCACTGCAGTCATCGGAGTGGATCTCTCGCTACCGGCCGTAGTACGCTCCATGGCCGGTAGCGACAGTTGTTTTACCGCGGTCGCAACCTTCTGCGAGGTAGTAATCTCGCGGAAGGAGGCGGCGGAGAGGGCCCGGGAGGACGACCTCCACTCGGACCCGATCCGCCGCCGGCGAACCGGGCGGCGGAGGCCCGCCTACCACAGCCTCATGCCGCCCTGAGTGTGGCCGCGGGTGGACGGGGTGGGTTTCCCCTCCACCCGCATTAGTTTGGCCAGCCGCGAGGGGGCGGCGTCCGCGTGTGCCGGACGTCGCCTAAAGAGAGGAACATCAACAATGAGACGGAGCCCGCACCAGGAGCGGGCTGGCGCTAGGAGGGGTCCGGATGTCTTAACAACAGCTGTTCCCGGATCCCTCCTGTTACAGGCGCAGAGTGGCACACCGTGTGGTTTTAGTCGGTCCGAGTCCGACACACCACCCCGCCGCAAACCCCGGAGGGGTGACGGTCCGAGGGGATTTCCACACGTTAAAAAAAAAAAAAAAAAAAAAAAAAAAGGGTTTGTGGCAAGTTTCCCTTCTCTCTGCAGTGCTGTTGTTCTGCGTAGTTTTATCCCTTAGTCGGCTCTTACGACACCCACGGGATGAATAGGGGTGGTGACACTCTGTATTCTTAATTCGCCACCACACGTTGTAATCGTTACTTAAATGAAAATCTCACTGCTCTTGTGCGACTATGTTAAAAACGAAATTTGTAAAAAATGTATATAGAGCAACCAATTCTGCAAATTAACAATGAAATTGATGCTCGTACTGATCTTCGTAGAATTCTTCGAATTAGAATTAAATTTTCATCATTCCTGGTATCTCACGATCATAAAATTGTAAAGAACACGTTACCTTGACGGACTTGTCCCGTGAACCGCTGGCGAGGAACGGCCCGGCGTGGTTAGCGCGGCGGTTGTCGGTACCAGCGGCCTCGTTGATGGCAGCAGCAGCCGCCTCCGGTGCCCACGACACACACTCCACTACATGCTCGTGTTCGCGCAACTCCATCTGACAATATATCATACAGTATTAATCAGACAAAATCTCTTAATAATTAGTCTGCAGTTTCTTGGTCATCACTAATTATTTCGAACTTTGCAAAAGAAAAATGATTGTACAACGTTTCGATTTTATAATACATGTAAGTACAGATTTATAACTTAAAGAAATCTACATTATTTGGTTTGAAATGTTTCCGTTTTATTATATTTACGTTATATCAACAAATTACCGAAAATCTTTCCTCACTAAGAACTTTTCAGAGGCCCAAATGCGAGTTTATTTCATATCAACTCACTCGTCACGGTGAACACGTTCGGCGTTGCGATTGGACCGCACTGAAATCCCCACCAATCACAACGCCCAACGCCCTCGCTGTCGAGAGCGATTTGATGTGAAATAAACTTACACTAGTTTGATTCAGTGTTGGCCTAAAGATCAATTATATGGTGACAGTGATTTTTCATTATACAATTAATGTTTTCATTTTCTGGCTATATCGGTGTATAGCATTATATACCTTGCACTCATTAGTATCCGCGTTCCATATGCGGACAGTTTGATCGTTGGAGCAGGATGCCAGCAGCGTTCCGTCCGGCGACACGCGGACCATGCGCACCCACTCACGGTGACCTTTGTATGTTTTTACACAGTACCTACGACGAAAAGACAAATATAACCATATATTATAAAGTAAGTAGAAAAACCTAATAAATTGAAGACACCTAAATAGCTACTCTTGCAACTACTCAAGTTATTGAGTATGATTTTGTTATTTTCTATATACTTTGGTACAAAATTGACAACGTAAAAGTTTCAATTGGAAAATATTCTGATGGTATTAATAGTTTGGTGTTGTTGTTGTTGGTATCGTGACTTCCACATTCGGCAAAAACTTTAGATCAACATTTAGGGGCGACGTGGCCGGCCCTATGAAGCACTACTTCTTGTCACGCATTGAAAGTTCTTGCTCTAATACATATGTATGTTTTAAAGTTGAAAATAACTATTTAAGTAAATATATCTTTAGCCTAAAATAATACAAATTAAGAAAAGATAATTATTAATTTACTTTAGTCTCCCTTGAAAAAATAGGATTATTTATTCGCGAGACACGTGATTCGTAACACGAAAATGTATCAGTAACGTAATCAGAAAATGTTGACAACTAGTTTACCAATCAGCTTTCAAAATGTAAAAGTAAAATTATTCTTTGAACGATGACGTCTACTTCAGCATGTGAGACCCCATGCCGCTTTGTGGCATATATTTTATTTAAATAAAAAATGTTATAATTTGATTTAAGGGTACCTAAAATAATGAATTAAATAAATACTACTTTACGGGTATTAAATTAAACATACGAAGCGTTTAAAACTATTTTTGATAAGTTGTCAACACCCGGATTGCTACTGCTAGCCTTTAACAGTTAATAGAGAGAGAAATGGTATTGCTTGTGTGCCTTTTATGACATGATTAGTTGACCAAAATGAATAAATTTTCCACGTTGTTTTGCAACATTCTTCATTGATCCTCAGCTCCTATTGGTCGTAGTGTGATGTTATATAACCTAAAGACTTATCCAACACTAAAAGAATTTCGCAATTCGAATCTGTAGTTCCTGAGATTAGTGCGTACAACCAACTAAACAAACAAGCTCTTTACCTATATTATATTTATGTAGATTAGCGACGCGCCGTACTTACCGTATTGAACTGAAACACCTACCATACCTTAAAATCGTAGTGTTTCTTATTACAAAGATCAAGATCAAGATATAAAAGATACAGAGATCAGTTACTCTTAAATTTACGATTGCAAAGATACGCGCTAGGGCCGATTCGCTGCACTTTCTACAGTAGGTATCAGCTGACAGGTCGGTGCCCTCGTGGTGCATTTTATAACAATGGACGTGTCTGAATAAAACTCGAACGAGTGAAAGAAATATCGTAAACTTTTTAGTACAATCAGTACTTATATTAAGATTTTAATGTACTGTTAACTATACTAATCATGTTTAAGTTTTATTTATTATTATTTTTACTTTCCCTATAATATGTATGTGTTTAGAAATATATAAGTATGTTTATCAGCAGTCTGGTTAATATAGAACAGGCTATGCCTAGTTTGGAATCAGGCAGATGTGTCAATTTATTATTATACTCTTCTCTACTGGAAATACTATTGGAAGAGAGTGATGTGGACGCAAAGACGATTTAAACTACGTATTGATTATAAATCATGCACTAATGAATGTTTCAGAGTCTATAACTAAATCAACATCAATCGTTGGACCGATGTCCATCTTCACTTAGGTTGTGCAGTTATCTATAGGCAGCTCGATTAACTGAGTCTTCGGCTACGGGGTACAGAGGCTAAGACATATGACGAGAACGGGGACCGGGGGGTGACTTAGCTGCGGGCGGCAGGGCATCTGGTCAGAGCATCTTCTTAAATAAATTAAAAAAAAACCCACAACAGTCGGCGCAGTAGGAAGCGGCGTGGCGACCGCTTAAACCACTACGCCATCCATGCAGTCAATAGTTAAGGAATCCCGAGAAAACAGTTTTATGATGATTGGTTGGGTAGTTATGATGTAAGAGCATTACAAACACTCACATTCGCATTATAAAAGTTATTTATGATATTATTATTTTACCCGGTGGCGACTTCCCATGCCTTGATAGTTTTGTCTCGGCTGGCGGAGTAGACAATGTCGCCACTCGGTGAGAAGGCGACAGATGACACGTTGTGGTCGTGTCCGTGCATCGTCTTCACGCATTCGAATGTTTGGTTAAACTCCCATAGCTTGATGGACATATCTGCGCTGCAAGATACTGAAAACAGAATTGCATAGTCACTTTTTCTCTTTTCATTTTTATAAGTAATAATAGTAACAACAATATTGAATGGTGATCAGTGTCTGATAATGAATCAGGGACGAGTTTTAGAATTTAAGTTTGATAGGTGTATATAAAAAACTCACCGAGTAGTTTTCCATGATGATCAAAGGCGATGTCCTGAACGGAGTCGGTGTGACCCTTCAGGGTTCGTTCGTACTCGCCACTCTCGAAGTCCCATACTTTGATAGTTGCATCCTCGCTCGAGGACACCATTAAACTGAACACTGGGTGAAATATTACCTGTAATAGAATAAGTAAACAATTATTTTTTTTCGTTTATTGTTTGTCTCAATTCCTATCCCTCAAAGAGCGACTTTATGTAGCTTTTAATAAAGGTGGTGTGGTGGTAAACGCAATATTGTTGTTCTTAAATTGTTAAATTCATTAGAATAAAATCTAGCCTGAGAGTAACAAGTTGATGAAACAAAAATATTGTAGCTTTATAACTTTACTGGAGGCTCGCTTCGATTACCCGGTTTGAGCAATTATCTAGATATTACACATATAGCCTATGTATTTCTTCAATCATATATGTCGTTAAAGATTTTTGCAATAGATGCACTGGTACCGGATATTACATAAAATTATAATAATAACTAACGATGACTCTACATGTACCTACCTACCTACCCTATATTATGAAGATGTGAACATGATATAGTTTTAAATATGCACAGCTCAAAGCTGCGCTTGCTAAGTGTTGGAAAATTTAGTCATAATTGTTAAACATTATATAGCAAATAAACAGACACTCCTTGGAGTTTTTACACTTAATATCTCTGATTCAGATTTCTACAAAACATACGCATGTAAATGAAATTAAGATTAGTCTCAAAGTATTATGAACAGTGTATAAATGCTCAATGTTCGCATTGAATACATGTAACGTACGTAAACGTACGTGAGAGTAATGTATAAAACCGATTGAATATCCGCGGAAAACTACAATAGCCACATTATTCTTTGCTCTAAATCAATTGTGCGTGGTTAAAAATATTTAGAAATGAGATACTGTGAAACCAAGAAAAAGGCAAACAATGCATTTATAAATCGGCTTTCATTGAATTAGAAAGTTATGACATCTATAGTAAATTCGTTACAGAATTAAAGGTCTTTATACAATGGACAATTGCTTATCATTTAAAATATGGATTCAAAGATACTCGTAAACGAATACTACAATGTTATATTGTTCAATATATCGCATAATACATAATTAAGACAGTTTGTTTGAGAGGCAACCCCTTTATAAATACTAAGTAAAAAAATGGTTTGGGACAAAATCGTTACTAAATTACGTTTATCAGAACATAATCAGGTACGAGAGCTCACATAAACTGTAATAATATTAAAATAATTTTTGAACTGGTGATTACTTACATCACCATTACAATAACTACATATTTTAAGTCATGTGCTGAAAGACAACATTATTTGTATTTTAACATATATTTATTGGCAGATTTTGATGCAACCAGAGGATACGGCAATGAATAATGTTTAAATATGTCACATGATTAAAATTGGCATTAGGTATATTCTAGTAGTGATATCTTTTGAATTCAAATAAGAATGTCTATGACATAACTCGACATCGTTGGCCATTCTAAGTTTACATTATTTAATTCTACGTAATATATTTTTTTTGAGAAATTTAGTTCGTTTTAAAACCAACAAAGGAGGATGAGAAATGCTCAAAGAAACTAGTCAATGCGACCCCTATTTTCAAGAATTTCATGTGGTTCTATTTGTTTAACGGTCTTAAAAAAATATATAATACTGAATTTTTAAAAGTGGTGTAAAAAAATCAGTATTATAAAAATATTTAAGAAATTGTTCATTGACCTTTACTGTTGTTAATCACGACACCTTTAGATTTTTGCCAGTTAAAAAGTAGTATTAAAATTAGTTGGTTTTTATTATTTCAGTATACGAGTGAAAGGCTCTTGTTCAAAAGAAACGGAACTCGATATCAGCCTTGAAACTAGTCATAATACACAATACACTGAATACACATTCGAACATCCTCTGCATAAAAATCTGATGCTGTCATCAATTCAGCTCAAATGTTATGAGTATAAAGCTCAAATGCGCTATGTGCTGTTTTCAAAATTACCTTAGTAATAGTGGCCCGGTGTCCAGTTAGACAGAACTTCTCAGGTGGTCTCGGAATCCACTCGGCCGGTGTGCGCTTGGCACGCGTTGGCGCGCCTTCGATAAATTCCTTCTGAGCCTCCGATAGCTTCGATTCCAATTCCATCACCTGGTAACAAAACGATAACAAAGATTTCCATAAATGTGGTTTTGTAAATGTGTGCAAAGTTGCAGTCAAAGACATTATCTTTTTTACTGCAACTTTAACATACCTACGGAAATAGTATTTGATGATCGATTTCATTTAATTTATTGTAATTCCGCAATTATCAAATCCAAGTAAAATGCACGTAAAGTATTTTCAGTTTCACTCTGGTTTCATTATTTTTTTAATTCATATAATATTATGAAAATGAGACCCTATATGTAATTTTGCAAATGACAAGGCTCACTAATAAGATTAGTGACGGAATGTTTCCTATTTTTTATCATTTTACAAAAAAAGCCATCAAGGTATTTACTTTTTGCTCACGTTAATTGAGGACACTTGAAAAACCTCATGTTAATCGAAATGACTATTAATTTGGCGAAAAATGCGGACGTTGAGCATACAATTATATTATATTTCTGCTTAAGATTCGAGACGTCTTCTTTACAGATACATAATTATTGCGTAGCATTCGTTGGCTCCAACAGTCACATAAAATATTTACTTTTATTTTTTTTGAGTTAACTCACGTCAGACTGAACTGTTGGCCTACCATGAACTCTTAAAACAGGCCAATTTTAGTCGAAAATTGAACGGTCGCTTTATTTTGTACCATAAACGCGATGATAAGCAGGCGAGTCAGCGATCTCAGGTCAGTGGTCACGTGATTAAGATTTCAACGGCTTGGCGTTACCATGAAGTGATATTTGACAGTTGAATATCCGAAAACTGAACTGCCGTGCAGTCATATTTCGCAGGCGTAAAGTAGTAACTTTTATTGAACTGTTTTGAGTGATTTTGAATTAAAAATGTAAGTGATTGTTAATTTGTGCTTAGAATATTCAAGCTACATCATTAAAGACTTTTCTCAGAACAAAATTTCAATATATTTTCCGTTATTTTAGATGTGTGATGAAGACGAAGTATTTGAGTTTTTAGAAGATGATTTCAATAACGCTAAAAAGAAAGTAAGTGACAAAATTAATAGGAATGCCATCCGAAATTTGATCAAACCCTTCGAATTGCAAGACGGAATGTTTATACAGCGATATAGGCTAACGAAAGAGTGTGTACTTGAGCTGTGTAATGAGATGAGACCGTTCATGACACAACCTACAAAGTCCACTGATTTGAGTGTAGAAGTCAAGGTTTGTAGTATATTATAAACATATTTATATCATGGAACTAAATATGAAGTATTAAAAGGACTTAAATTAACAATAAAAGGGAAACTTAATATTCTAAATGTATTAATTCAGGTTTTGATCGCATTGTCATTTTATGCGACTGGGTACCAAAGACCAACTGGGGACATAGCTGCACATTCTGTTGCCCAACAAACAGTTTCAGCTGTAATAGCACAAGTAACCCAGTGCCTTAATCTTCCACATTTCCGACAGAAATGTATAAAATTTCCAAATAGTGATAATGAACGTAGAGCTACTATAGCTGGGTGAGTACAATTTACTTCTGTAGGTTTGTTGATATAATAGTCTGGTATGACTTATCAACAATTTTTATTTCAGATTTTATAAAAAAAAAACATATGCCTGGAGTATTAGGATGCATTGATGGGACACATGTTGCAATAAAACGGCCAGTGGAACACGAAGAACGTTTTTACTGTAGAAAACAGTATCGTTCTTTGAATGTACAATTGGTATGTGCCTTGCCTTAATTAATATGCTCGACTGTACAGATGGTGTAGTGGTTTAAGCGGTCAGCTCGCCGCGTCCTACTGTGCAATGGGTTGTAATGGGTTCGATTCCCGCATGGGACACTGTGTAATCACAAATCTTTGTTCTGAGTGTGGGTGTTCTTTGTGTCTGTTTCGTGTATGTTTTTGAAGTCCCCAGTGACACAATGCGGGAGGTGTCTTTTTTAATAAAAAAAAACAATAACAAAAGAAATATATAATTCAATTAATTGTACATACATTGATTATGAAAATGTGCAAAAATAATAATTAAACAAGTGGCTTGCATACAAATACACTAATCTATACAAATAAAAAAAAATTGGAGTGTCTGTATGTAATATTAAAATAACCGCTTTTTACTAAATGCATATGTATGTTTACACGGTACATATGCCAAAATAACATTTTTTACAATTATTGTCTGTCTGTCTGTCTGTCTGTTTGTGCCGGGTAATCTCTGGAACGGCTGGACCGATTTTGACGGCACTTTCACTGGCAGATAGCTGATGACATAAGGTGTAACTTAGGCTACTTTTTTTAGACTAGCTTCGCCCCGCGGCGTTGCCCGCGGTTATAACAATAAACGCGGGTAACACCGCGGGTCTTAGCTAGTTAATTAATATAATCAGTTTACAAGTGATTCACTTCAATCAGCTTATTTCTCATCTTCAGCTTCATTCAGCTTAGTTTTCCTCTTTTATATTTATATTAGATTTCTGAGATTGTTGCAAGAAGTTATTTCTGAAACAAAAAAAATATTGCCTCTATAAGTTATCAAAAGACTGATTATTTTTAGGTATGCAACTCTGACATGGAAATAATTAGTGTGGATGCTAGCCATGGGGGAGCAACTCATGATGCCTTTATATGGGGTCACCATCCATTAAAAGCTATTATGGAACAGTTAAATAACACATGGTTTTTAGGTTTTGCTAAATGATAATGTAGTAGCTTCATTTGATGTTTCCTGCAAAACAAATTAGCTATTATTTCAATGTTTTTTGTAAACTATGAAATTACCATTGTGATCAGTAGATTGTCTTGTAAATTATAAGAATTAAATCTATTATTTAGAGGGCAACCGCCCTATAGGTACGGTAATAAAAGAACAATATTAAATAATTGAGAACTATAAACCTTTTTTTATTTAAAACATTACTTACATGAGTAAGTTCTGTCTCCACTGATACTTGAATTCCTGGGAGACCCGAGCTGAGGTCTTCACCAAGAATTAACAGAAATTTTAATTCTATCTCTGTCAATTCAGGTACTGTGGAAGGTCCACCTCCAGTGCTTAGGTGAGATGCCCTAATACTGGCACACTTTCTTTTTATTCTGCCTTTGTAATCTACCCAATACTGAAATGAAGAGTTGATTGAACAATTAACATATACATATTATTATAGTAATACGTAAATTCTTTAGAAAATATAGCACCAACTCACATTAGACCAACTTTTCCAATCTTTGATAGCACCACCCACGATAGAGTTCAAATATGCAGATACTTCTGTCCACATTCGCCGACATGTTGCGCGAGCTTGAGCACTTTTATTAAACCCCACAGCAACATCTCTGTGAGTATTTAAGAACTCCCACATGACTTCTAGTTGCTCATATGAAACTCTTCTGGACGTCATGGTTAACGATGAATACTTTTCAAAAAATATTTTTATTCAAGTAAGAATTTCAAATTCGCCTCGGAAACTTATTTCAAATTTTTTATGCTTTCAACATAACATATGTCGTTCAAAAATAGGTGACATCTTGGTAGCGTTTATTTTAAACATTATTTATTATTATTTAAGTGGCTAAAGCTAAAGATGTTATTTATGTTAGATTTTAGCGAAAGAAACAAAGTTACTTCAAAGTACTTGATACTGAGCAATGATTATTTAAATAATTAGATTCTAGGTTTATAAAACCGGAAAACCGATAACGATTATGAGAAGGATTTTAGAACGTTTGTTTTATGACATTAGTATAGGTGTGTTGTTGCCAAATCGACCAGAGATAATTATTCAGGTCAAAAATTGATACATTGCAGTTCAGCCGAAAAGGTTCATGGTACAATTAGAAAACCTGTCAGGTTATCTGTAAAGTTGAGCTGCTCTGAATTTGGCAGTTATTTGGAAAGTTCATGGTAGGCCCCCTGTACTGACAAAAACAGATAGCACGTTTAGATACTTTTTGAGAACCATTTATTTAGAAGAATTATTACTATTATCAGATCCCATATTACAATACAAAAAGCAGATGTAGGTACAAAATAAATTTAACTTAAGCATGAATTTCCAATTATTATGAAACTAGAAGAATGTTGTTCTACTTTAAAGATGTGCCAAGATAAACGAGATATGTTTTAATGATTCCAGAATACCCAAAATATTTACTATAGAAATATAAACATCTCAATTTATTAGTAGAACGTGGTTCAAGATAAAAACAGAGTACCAAACGTCCCGTTTAGAATCACCTTGAGAGTTCTATTTATTTAAATAGTGGACATTGTTCATAGATAAATAGTCAATAGGTAAAACGTGTCACGATCATTTAGGAGAGCGAGTCGGTCGGCCGGCAAGTTGGTTTTACCGCCCGCCCAAGAAAATCGTTCAAATCGACCTAGAAACGTCTTCCGGACAGATCGATCGTTATACAGCTACAATCGTGTTCGAATGCTGTTATAGATTTTTGTAATACACGTTTTACTAATCAGCGTGTTCATCTTCTAGCAGTGTAGCAATATATGACCGAACACGTGAGAAAGACCCCTTCCAATTATATAACACATTGCGTACAGGGGGATACTAATAGGCGTCATCATCTGTGCTCACAATCGATTACGTGTAATCAATTATAGAAAGTGTTACAAGAGATTTAAGACGTTATTGACGCTTTGTTGGCAAACTGAGTCGTATCTAAGCGGATACTGAGAAATTTTATACTTAAATAAAAAATCTACATCGCACGTTATGTTTTATGTTAAAAATAGATATAATAGTACCGTTTTCCACTTTCATAGACACCAATAACTCTCACAGCTTTCGATCACTAATTTATTGAAGCTAACAGCTATATTAAATGTAATTAAATTAAATTTGAATGACTACAAATGTTAACAAAACACACAAACAGTTACACAATAGAAAAGGGTAATAACATTAATTCAAGAGATTTCGGTAGTTAAAATTAATAAATGGACTTTTTGTATTATATTTCAATTTATTAATAACGTGGCGACTCCCGTATACAAAGAACCACAAACATACTACAAACCATCTAACGAAGACACACCGGACTACGGAGTAACTCCTGAATGAGAATTGCTAATCCTGTATCGCGATATGAAGAATTCTCTCGCCGATTAGCATACTACTCTGTCAAGAAAGTACCGGGAAAAGATCAATAATACACAAAATGTTTGTTATTCATCCAAATTTATTTTATCACCTTTAAAGTATGCTCCTTCGGAAACGATAGACTTACGCCAACGAATAATCCAATCATCAAAACATTTTTTAAACGCTGTTTCCGGAATTCAGTTCAGTTCTCGCCGCGAATTCTCCTTTATGTCTTCTGCCGATTGAAAACGGGTGAAAGGAAGTGGTAATTTGAGTTTAAGAAAAAGAAAGAAGTCGGCTAGAGCCATATCTGGTGAATATGGTGGTTGCTCGATTTGTTCACAATGGTGGCCTTGTGCAAAGTCTTCTACAAATCTGGTCTTTTTCGTCGAATTTGCAAGAATGGTTTGTAGAATGATTCCAGCCTCTTAAATGTCTTTATTTATTCTTTATTTACCGTTTGACCTTCTGACAAGAATTCAGAGTGTGCAACACCGCGATAGTCAAAGAAAACAGTCAATATGACTTTGACTTTCGATCGACTTTGGCGTGGTGTTTTCGGTTTCGGTTCAGTTGGAAGGCGCCACTCCGAAGCTTGTTGACTAGTTTGCATGTCAAACTCGTAAACCCACGTCTCGTCACCAGTAACAGTGCATTTCATGAATGTTGGGTCGAAATTGACTCCTTCTAGCATGTCCTCAGAGACTCTTATGCGATTGAGTTTTTGGAGAAAATTCAGGTCTTTTTGGATTAGCCGAGCGGTAACATGTTTCATACCCAAATTATTAGTTAAAATGGTAGGGATCGACTCGTAAGATACAGAAAGTTCGGCGGCTATCTCTCTCAAAGTTGAATGAGGATTTTCAGTAATTATTTCCTTCACTTTAGCGATCTTAATTTCAGTTACAGACGTTGATGGCCTACCAAGCCTACCTGAGCAAGGTAAATCTTCCATCACATCTCGACGGCTCTTGAAGGCTTTGTACCACTCATAAGCACGTGGTTTTGATAAAATCGATTCACCTTAAGCCTACTGTAACATTTTCAGACTCCGAACACGAAATTCCATTGGCGATGCAAAATTTAAGACAAACTCTTTGTTCGATGTTTTGTCCATTATGAAATTCGCAATACACACTAGATATGATATAACTAAAAACAGCTGTATTTGATATAAATAACAGTTGTGCTAATCTAACAACAACAAAAAAAAAAACAAAAATTTGAATTTGGAACCATAACCAAATCATCCATTCCTGATACTTTTTTGACTGAATGTATTTACAATTTCCCAACATCAACCGTTGGGGCGCGGCGCGCCAGGCATGATCACCTCGCCTGGTCGGAGGATCCTCCCTTTGTGTTGGAGGAACACGACACCCGTTCCTTCACAATATAATTGTTTGAGATTAGACTAAAAAATATTTGCGAATATAATAATGAAATGTGACAACGAGGAAAATGGAAACTCTTTTTGGCTGGTTTTACAATTTGCTACCTTAGCAAATTGTAAAACTCACTACGTATGTTTTTGTTACGTATTACAAAAATAATATGGTAATGGGTATAAAATGCAGATTTGACTAAATGTGTCAATTACAGTAACTAATATCTAGCCCTATTGATGTTTACTGCCGAGGTGCATGCTGTGACTTCTTTTTTTATTTATTTTTTTGTTAGTGTTTGAACACGCGCCCTAATTTAGAAAAGCCAGTCAATTAAATTCTAAGATTGAGTTCGCTGTGACGAATTCTTTTATTCTTTTACCTACGTGTCCACAACCTCGAGTTTATCACTTACGTACGGTATGATACAATAAATATTAAATATTTTGTTTATGTTTATTTTAGCTAATAGCAGACAACGTGTGCAGCAATCGCATCCTATAATGTCTGGCCTAATAAATTAAAAACTATTTTGAGTTGTCTTCAATTTCGTTCTCAGACAAGACAAACATAGTTTCATCATCATCATCAACAGCCTTTACTAGTCCACTGCTGGACATTAGCCTCTTTTTAGAGAGGAGGTTTTGGCCTACTATACCACGTTGGCCAGACGGGTTGTTATAGGGTTTGTTTCAAGTTTTCTTCAGTTTGTAGTGCTGTTGTCCTGCGTAGTTTACTCTCTGAATCGGCTCTTACGGGATGGTGACACTCTGTATTCTTAATCCGTCACCACACGGATACTTTATAAATAGTTTGAAGAATTAAATTATACCTTTTTCTGTAATCTGATGACTGAAGTCCATTTCTTCTCTAGGAGGCCGCCGAACTTGCGATCCATTTCGCCGCTCATGTCGGCCTCCTTCTTGAACGCTTCCAACGCGTCCGTGTAGCCATTGCTACCTAAATAATCGGCGATCGCTTTGTTCCTGTAACAAAATAAATACTATTTTAATTTTTATGTTTTTCTTGTAAGATGTTTAACTCGCCCATCATGGCCATATAAAAATATGAAACGTCCTTATTCATAATCATTTCTTGAAGTGAAAACTTCTTTAGATGCGTTGGGCATTTTTTTAAACAACAAACAAAAAAATGTATTTTATGGTTTAACAAAAAACTCATTTTTTGAAATCACTTCGTGATACAAATCGTATAGGGGGGCAAACGAGCACACGCAGGTGCCCCCGCTGATAAGTGAATACCGCCTCCAATGGATACCTGCAACTCAAGAGTCGCACGTGTGTTGCCGCCCTTGCAGTGTTTCCCCCAGAATCAGAGAGAGGGCGAAGGTTTGGGCTCCAGTAACCTCACTCACTCGATGAAAAGCAACTTAAGATTTGCTTAACACCGGTTGTCTTTGAGGCAGTGATGTGGCCGGTCGTGTCCATTTGTGCCACAGCATGGCTTTCCCACGATGATCAGCTAAAACTGACCATATCGTGTAATCGTCAACGTTAATAATAATAAGTCAGTTTACGTTACGTACTGGGTGTACTTTGTGTCCGTTTCATGTATGTTTGTAAAGTCCCCCGCGACACAGGATCTATTCCTAGTGCGGGAGTTGTCTTTAAAAAAAAAAAAAAAAACGTTTGGCCATGGGGTTCCGGGGATTCCCTTCCTAGGGTACACCTGGTTCCCCTGCTACTGGTAATCGACACGGCGTGCGGTTTTTGGTAGGTTCATGTCCAACATAACCACCGCAGGGTGGTATCGGAGGGGATAATTCGTCGATTTTATCATTACTATTATGATTTTAAAACATAATAATGGATAATGCAACTATTTTACGATCTGGTCACTAACGATTGGTCATAACATGAAGTACTCGTGCGTTTATCTGTTTATATCGTCAAATGCTGATTATTTATTGATCTAGTAATTTAATATAATGATGTAACCGACCATCCATTAAATTAAATACGAACGTTTCATCAAATAGACCAGCACATTCATGAAGGCAGGTCTAGGGCTTGGTCAAAACATATTTCAGAAATAAATATTTATTAGTGTCAAGATTTACTATATTTTTGAGATTTATATGTATAAACAAATTACGCATTAATTATGCATGAGTACGTTTCATTATTATTATTATAGTAAACGGAATAATTTAAAATATACAATATCATATTAATTATTCAAAATTGTAATTCCGTAGCCTATACATACATTATTATCGCAATTTTAATAATAATATGCATAAAAATAGTACAAATTAAAATTAACACTTAAAATTAAGTAAAGGACTATAAGACGTTTGAATTAATTATATTTACAAAACAATATCAGTCTTAGCTGTAGTGCGGCAAAAACTATATTTTATGTATATAAATAATAAAGGAAATAGTCCCAGTTTTTAGTTATCTATAAGGTCATATATTGTTTAGTATTTATTATACAGTTTGTTAAAATTGTTAAAGGATATAGGATAGAAAAATAGTTTTGTGAAGCCGTGACATATGCTACGATGATAATGCGAAAGTGATATTTCCTTGTTGGTTACGCTCTCACGAAGTAACTACCCAACCAAAAAAATCATGACATCATGAAATTTCGCATACACACTATCGAGGGTACAAAGGACAAAACAGAGGACAACGACAAAGAACATATAGATAAGAACACTACCTGAGAAACTTGAATTGATTGACAAAATCTAATTTAACGTGAGCCAAGCCGCCGGCACAAACTACTTACGTACAACAATGTACAGAGACAAGAAATTAAGTTTAGTCATTCACTTGTGCCATCGAATTGTTGTTATTTTTATTAATTTATATTACACATGAATGTCGCAACGAGATAATGGATGTCGTTACTATATGCGATGCGGCAGTCCAAACCGCCTTGAAAGAGTTTATTGAATCTCGCCCCCATGTTTTTTTAGTAAAGGGATCAATGAACTACCTATGAGATGGCAAAAGTGCATAGATAACAAAAGTGCACACTTTGATTAATAAAATATACTTTACAAAAAAAAAAATAAGACTATATTCCACCCGTGCAAAACGCCAATTTCATATGTAAGGACCTAATATTATTTATATATTGTGTGCATACCAACTACTTACATAATTACTATCATTCAATTCTAGATAGAAGAAACGCCTTTGACCTTCCTCTCAAGAGAAGAATGTAATAAATGATAGACATTGTGGCTCATAAAAGTTAAATAATATTGATTTACTTGCATCTTCGGTTCCCAATTGTTCTATTGACTTCAACACAATTTGACATTCGGCACATGCTTCGTAACGTGTTCAATCTATGATGAGGTCATCATGAGTTATGTACAATTTATTAATGAAGGAAGGTGCGGACAATATTCATATTAGTAAAAAAACTGCTTATTAGCAATATTTCAACCATCAAATAACGCCTTTTTTACTTTTTATATACATTATTCCCATATCTACACACAATCTACATACTGCTGTCATTTTTACCCCTAGTCTTTTTATTCTTATTGCCATTATTAAAAGCTTACACAGTTGCTAAAAATGTTGTCTTTACGTTTAGTACATAAGTCAGATTATTGAGTTGACAAAAGTTTTACATATGTATAAATATTCTTTTGGTTATATCGAGAGGAAATTTCGTCATAAAGCCCTGACCTGATTGGCAGTGAAGGTATTTCACAAAATATCCCTCTTACATTAACATGTATCGTAAAAACAATTACACACATACAATTATCATTATTTTCATACCTGTCATCAAGCTTAGGCTCCGAATCACGATGTATACTATTAGTATGATCAAGAGTAACTATATAAAATCAATTACCAATTAAAAATACCATCTATCAAAGATGGTTCACTTCGCTACGTAGTTGCATTGCTTATTACCAGATTTATGATCAACATAATAAATGAAAATCATAACAGTGAATAAATACTATTTGTTGTTTGAGTTACTGTGATCCGCATGAAAATAACAAAATGATAAAGTAAATTCTAATAGATAAGATATTCGAAATAATTTCTAAAGAGAAGCCTTGAGCTGATATAAACAGATGATTTACAATCTAATGATTTTGTAGTGATCTTGTACAATCAAACTATATCAATGTTTTCTCTTGTTAAGTTGTACACAGCTGGCGAACTTTACACGTGAATGAAGACTTGCTGAAAACTTGCTTGTATCTTGTGCCTGGTTGTGTCATTATGTACCGGCGTATGTGGTTATTAATGAACGAATGACTCAAGTCGAAAGTATCAAGGATAATGTTACAAGCTTAAAAGATTCGTATTTTTTATTAGTATTATAAACATACATTAATGTTTTAATTTTTGTACTACTCTAGTTTAAATGAAAGAAAAGCGACATGTTAATAAGTAGTTAAAGATAGATAAGTAATAATTTCTAAACTGTAAATACACCTGCTACTTAATATACTTGACGACAGATGAAGTACTGAGGATTATGCACGACGCCTACTCAACTTTCTATGAAAGTTTAATTTATAAACAGCACGGCTATTGTAAAGCTCTCGTTGGTCCTCGCCAAGTCCATGAAGTTCTTCCAAAACGGATGTATTGTGTATAGATAATTAATACGATATATACAATATTCATAAAAAAAACTACGCAGAACAACAGCACTGCAGAGAGAAGGAAAACTTGACACAAACCCTATACCAACCCGTCTGGCCAGCGTGGTATAGTAGGCCAAAACCTCCTTTCTAAGGAGAGGCTTATGTCCAGCAGTGGACTATTAAAGGCTGTTGATGATGAATATTCATAAAAGCAATTGAATACTTGATGTAAGTGACCGAGAGGCTTCTGCAATCATAGGAAGTACATATGGGTACGCGGTTCCTTACCCTAGCTCCCTTGCTCTATCCGCTTCACTTTCTCCAATTTACTTTTTTAAGTTATTATTCATAACTTATTTATTTTGACAATTACAAGTTTAAATGAAATAAGGAATATCCGAAAGTGTTAAGTTTAGGAATGATGTAGGTATGAACAGTTGATGAATTTATTTACTTATCGATTATGTATTATGTTTGTAAAATAAATCGTTTGTCTATCAATTAATCTATATATATATATATATATATCTCTAGGGTATATCGGATTTGGGCACGACTACTGCGATGGCCGGATCGTGGACACGGCGCCCCACACGCTGGCAGAATGCCCGCCGTCTCCTTCTGAGAGCTGCTTGCGAAGGAGATGCCGGAGCGGGACCAGGAGAATCGAAAGAGGTTTAGAATTCTTCCGGCCCGCCAGGCCCGGGAACGGGCCAGATACCGCAGACGACTCAGGCGCCGGAGGTCGCAGAACGATCTCCGTCCTCCATAAGCGCAGGCCTGGGGGTGGTAGGTGAGGCCCTCTGTCAACCTAGCAGAAGCAGGCCGGGGTGGTAACGAGACGCGCTGAAAGCACGCGCGCCTTTTCCATAGCACAAAGGGGTCCCCACACAGGGGGGGTCGTCTACACGCCGTAGATGGACCGAGGTACGTCGGGGTACCAGGGATTTCCTTTCTAGGGTACACCTGGTTCCCGGCAACTGGTACCCGAGACGGCGTGCGGTTTTTGGTCAGTACGAGTCCGACACAACCATCCGACCGATGGGTGGTACCCGAGGTGACATCAAAAAGACAAAAAAAAAGGTATTCCGGATTAATTTGAATAATAAATAACGTAACGATTTAGTGCGCCGCGCGATGTGTACTTGTTTACAGGCAGTGTTGCCTTTTGGTCTTTAAATATGCGGTAATTAATCTAAATAAAAGAAAAAAACTGAAGTTAAAACCACTGCAAATAAACTATCTACTTTACATTACATAAAATTTTATGTTAAAAAAACATAATTCAGAATGAAAATCGGTAACAAAAATCAAATACCTTAGGTACATAAAATACTTAGCTGAGAAGTGAACTTGAAGTATATTAATCAATTTACTTATTTACTAAAG